TTAGCACTTTCCTTTTGTAGCTGAAGCTACTTATTTTAGTTTATTACGCTTGTTAAAAGACAAGATTTTGTTTTTACTATGCTAGTAATCTCTCAGATTATCTTACTTCTTAATTTTTCCTTTATTTTAAGATTTATCAAATTCATTTCTTTCTTTTGCACCTGCATTCATCAGTGCCAATCAGAGAACAAGCAAAAACAATTCTTTTGGAGGCTGGTGACCCATATAGAACCAACTGGGTGGGTCACGTGACCTCAGTGGCTCTCCCTTCATTAGATACCCCACATTTGCCTTAGACCAGTGGTTCTCAACCTGGGGTCACAACCCCTTTGGGGGGGTCAAAAACCCTTTCACAGGGGTCACATATCAGATATCCTGCATATCAGATATTTACATTGTGATTTATAATAGTAGCAAAACTACAGTTATGAAGTAGCAACAGAAATAATTTTGTGGTTGGGGGTCTCCACAGCATGAGGAGCTGTATTAAAGGGTCGCAGCATTAGGAAGGCTGGGAACCACTGGATTAGACAAACCTTTTGTCAACCACTAACCCTATAGAAACAGCTCATCTTTTTTGCTATAGTATTGATGAACTGTATTATCAAACATTTGCTTGCGGCCCATTAACTTGAAGGAAAACAGCCAAAATTCCTTAATATTTTGTATCTCATAGCTCAATAGAGCAGTCTATTGAATGGATAACTAATGAACATATACTCAACATCACCAAATTTTAATTTAAAACATTGGTTTCTAAACTTAGCCTCAACTGAACTATATTTGATTATTTGATCCTTCCTAATGTACAGTTTTTAAAGCACAGTTGGTCTCATTCAGTCTTACCTAGATTTCAATAATTAGTACTTGAATAAACAAACACATCAAGAAATCATTAGGACTAGAACTATAAACATTTAAAACTATAAAAACCACTAACATAAATTTCCTGTGCTTTTACAGCCCTTTTCAGTTGAATCTTTTCTTCCTATGTACTCTTTAATACTGCCCCAGAAATACACAAATACATTATTCTAGTTAAATCAGCCCTTAGCCAGCCGAGGCAGGACACCTTTAATCCCAGCACTCTGGAGGCTGAGGCAGGAGGATCTCTAAGTAGGCCAGCCTAGTCTACAGAGCGAGTTCCAGGAGAGCTAGAGCTACACAGAGAGACTTCTGCCTAGAAAACAAAAAATAAAAATAAAAAAATAAAACAAAACAATCCCTCTACCCAGTGGGTGTTAGCCTTCTCATCTTCCCACTTCCTCACAAATATCACCTGTCCTTTAGAGAGATGGACCAAGGTCTTTGAGTGACACATTCTTTTATCCAGAAGGACTTTGTGGAAAGTAAGAGCTAGTCCCAAGGGGAGTAGCTGGCAAGTTCACAGGAGTCTCTGAAAGAAGGTACCATCACCTCCCAGCCAAATTCTTCCTCGCCCCAAATACTCTTATCTCTCAGCCCCATCCTTGGTGTCCTTAGGATGCTTGAGTTCTCTGGTCTGAGTTGAGTCCTTCGAGCTGTTCTCAAAGCTCAGGGGCTTTGTGCAAAAGGAGGAAGATCTCACTGCACTGGAATCACCTCTTCTATCCAATCAAGCCCACTAACCAGTCAGCTACCTGAAGACTTTTTTATGATTCATCTGTCGACTTTTTAAAAAAGATTATTTTATTTTTAATTGACAGAGATAGAGAATCTATTTCTGGATATGAGTATGTGTGCTGGTACCCATGGAGGCCAAAAGAAGGCTTTGAATCCTCTAAAACTGGGGTCATAGCCTTTTATATAACAGTACTGCTCCCTATGGGTGCTAGGAACGGAACTCAGGTCCTCTGCAAAAGTAGGATGTGTTCTTAATTGCTGAATCATCTCTCCAGCCTTCTGTGTACATCTATCTTGCCAAGGACTTCTACTCTTTTGAGTAACAACTCAAGGCAAAGAGCCAGTTGCTTACTACCTCTGCCATGTGCCCAGGACTCCACATCCCACAGTCACGTGATCACATTCCTACTTTGTGTCTGTCCTGTGGGCAGAGGATGGTCAGGACACAAGGCAGTGGATGCCATCCCCAATGTTACCATATGGAACGGCACTTGCCGATCTTGTCACCTCTCCATCAGGAACATGCCTTCTCGCCTGCGATTGCACACAACTCTTACAGTTTGGATACGAGATCCAAATCAATAAATTGCCAAAGCATATAGTCATCCATGTATAAAGATAAGGAAGGATGCATTATTAATAGTCTTTAAGTTTAAGCTTTTAAAAACAAAAATTTTCTAACAACGTATTTTTAGAATAAGATATGTGTCTAGATATGTAAACAGTCATATGACATGTAACAAGTGAGTTCTTACAAATAACCAAGTAAACGTATATGTTTATTTATAGTACACATATAAAATGATGTTATGCTCTTGGGATATGCTGCAAGGTAATTTTAAGGGTGTTGTAGTCTATTTTCCTCTATTTTATGAGGAAGGGTATGATTCAAGGGAGAGGTAGCATTCCCATGTACGCTGCAGACCTGATTACTAGAATAAGTCAGAGGTCCTGTTTACCTGGCAGGAAGCAATGTTAGTGTTTGGTCCTGGCTCCACCATTAACGTGGGAAGTTACTAAAACTCCCCTATGGTGGGTGTCTTCATTTATAGAAATAGTTAAGATAAGCCAGTGTTATCCAAATACTGGCCTGTGACGAAGTTCTTAATCAGTCTTCAATAAAATGAGAAAAAAAGATGGAAAATGGACCAACTAGTTTGTCTAGTTAAACTCATTTATTTTTTAAACTTATGGAAATGGCTTGCTTTTCTGAACAGAAAGATTTCTCCCCCTGCTTGAGCAAAAAAAAGCAAACAAAGCAAAAGTGAAGTATGACCCCTATTAATATAACCCTGCTAGTCAGACCTGCATGCATTTTTACTGGCCCATAAATGCAAAAATCTGGGATGGACTGTGTTCAGTGGTCATTAATGTCTAGCTCTTAAATTCCATGCTCTTCTTAAGTACAGATGGTCTTAAACTCTAAGGCAGTAAGGAATAACCTGTCCTAACACCTTTTCAAAAGGGAGCTGTCACAGACAGCCTCTGGAAAGATATCATAGCTGTTTGACTAGAAATGGGACTATCATTCAAATGGGTTTGGTAAACAATGGGTTAAAAGGGTAGACTTTTTTTTTTTTTCATGAGAAATGTTAGATCATCTA